AATATCGGATTAAAAAAAAAAAAAAAAAAAACTCGTACGGGGCCCCTAGCGTACGAGTAGCGTACGAGTAGCGTACGAGTACAAGAGTACGAATTCGTACCCGTACGAGGGTGCGTACAAGTGGCGACGTAGACCCTTTAATAAATCCAACAGGATGTATTGACGACCGACAATACCGACACTAAACTTCTATGCCCGTATCCCCGTCCTTCGACCAACCCTCATCTGCCTCAAAGTCTTCTCTAAGACCTCGGACGTCCTAAAATGGGTTGTGACACATAACCACGCAAAAAACGAAAGAAGAGCACTACGGCCATTAGCGTGGTGTCGGAGCCCTGTGGACTGCCACGTGGTGGCGCACGTGCTCCACCAGGCTGGCCCTGACGTGTTCTGCGAGTTCCCGCCCATAAGTGGGGTCATCCTCTCCCGGCACCTCGATGTTCAAGTCCGGGAGGTGGCGGTTGAATCGACGGCGCCGCCGGCGTCGTCGATGGTTCCGACGTTCATCGTTGTCTCCATCGCTGTCATTGCTATCTTCCATCAGTGCAGGTCGATCTGCACGTTGTGCTCCATCATCAGGTTGTGAAGAATGCAGATGGCCATAAATTCTTTGCAGACTGTCTTCAGGTTGCAAATATGTCTTCAGATGAAGTTCCTCCAAACCGCCTTCAAACGTCTGAAAACCCGTTCAATGCACGACCTCGCTGCACTGTGGCTCAAATCGAACGCTCGATCCGCTAGCATTCGAGCAAAACGTCCAAAAGGAGTCATGAGTCACGGAAGAAGAGGGTACCCTTGATCACCCAGCAGATAACGGCCAACATGTCTACCTTCGTGTAACACGGCACCTCCCTCAGCCAACACTCCTCTACCCTCCGTGATATTTATGAACAATGGTGACGTGCGCAAAGCTCTCAAATCATGCACAGACCCCGGACAACCCACATAAACACTGCAAATCTGACACTCGTGGTCGCAAACGACTTGCGCCACAACGGAGAACCCCCCAGTGTGGTGGTAGTAGCACTGCGATCGCACTCCTTTCGGCTTATCAACATACGAATGCGTGCAATCTATCGCGCCTACACAACCGGGGAACCCTTTTCTCTCGAAGCCATTCTACACGTCCTCCAACCGTTGCCCTGTGGGGAACCGTAGCAGATGGCCGTACTCCCGAATGATTGCGTCGGCCACCTCCTTGTTGCTGCGCAAAGCACTTGCGAGGCCGATGCCCAAACTGTGGGAGGACAGCCTGTAGTAACCGCCAGTAGCCCATCTCATCAGAGCGCATGCAAACTTTTGCCCGACGGGTATTGACAATCTGTAGTTCGTGGGCGACCGCTGGATGTGGGGGCTGACGCGAGCAAGAACTTCCAAGAACAGGGGCCGTGGGAGTCTGCAGAACCGAAGGAAAACCTTATCATGCTCAGCCCCCACTCGCTGAAGATCCTTCCAAAGACCGCCGCTACGCTCCAACACCCACAGACGACATCTGCTGTCCATTGTCCTCCCCATCTCCTCCACCGCCAACGAACATAGAGCAAAATTGTGCAGCAGCCCCCCCGCTAGCAGTGTAACCGCAACGGAGACATTTTGGTGGACAAAAGGCATCAACGATACCGCCTCCACAACTGCCAACGCTACCACTTTTCGTCTGTTCACCCACTGGAAGAGGACGAAAAGCAGCATGCACATCACATCCTCGGTTTCCTGACTATTCATCTGACATCCTGATTCCTCCATGGACTCCGTCCACTACAACCTTCAACACGTCCACTGACAGAGCTCAAAGTGATGGCCGCGTACCAACGCTTGCACAACCACCCGCACCACAACACTGGGGGAACGTTGGATTTGCACGAGTACCCCCCGCCCGGACCCCAAGATTTTGAATTCCGGGGGTGACCTGCAACAGCACGTCCCCAAAAAATTATCGTTGCTACTTCCGTTGCCTGTTGCCCTGGGGCGCCGCACCGGGACTCCGAAAACCGTCGCACGATGCTGTGGACGGCATGCACCGTCACACACGGACAAGCCAACCTGAAAGACCAAAAAAACGCTAGAAGTTGGCGGTGGGGTCTGCACGAATCGTGCCAAAAACTTTCCACCGACGTTGGCCACCAGCCGACTGCCAACTTCCTTTTCCAGCCGCCAGGCAGTGGGGTCCGAGCCTTACCCAACTTTCCTTTAAAGATATTACAGAAGCAGCGCAAAAATCTCTACCAAACCTACCACTGGCAAACTGACAGTCTGCCTTGGATACCATTGATGTAGTGGGCCTACAATGGCCCTAAAGACAACCAGGAAGTGATTTTGGGGTGCCCTTTCTTGTCCTGCATGACCAGTCTTCCCTTAAGACCCCATGTATTCCAAAACCACTTCAAACCAACCCGGGATGTGCCAGCCTTAGCTGTCCTGTACCAATCCGCCCATATGCATTGTCTGAGCTGAGCCTTAATGCGGGTTTCCAGGACTTCATCAGGAATCCGCTCATGCCGGAAGACATGGCTATTCCTTTCTTCCCATATTGTCTGCATTAACACTGCCCTGAAAACTTGAGCCAGATAAATGTCGACAACCCCTGCCTTAGTAGGGCTGGCATGGATCCCATCCAAAATGTAATTGTCAGACCATTCTATATCTGAGAGCTTAAGGTTTGCCCAATGTTTGCGCCACCAGGACCAATTCCGTTTGGAGAAAGGGCAGTCCAACCACAAGTGACGGGTAGTTTCCCATGCCCACTTGCACCGGGAACACTCAGAGGAACGTCCATGCCCCTGCCTGCCAAAAAGGCCGCAAAGGGAATCGCTATATGAGATTGGGTCCATAGTAGGCTGGCTAGGCGCTGCGAAGGAAGCTTTTGCAGAAGCTGCCAAAGGGCTACATAATCCTCTTCCGCATATTAATTCTCCAAGGCCTGATTGGCCCTGGTCTTTCTAACTGCGTCGAAGGGTTTGCGGTTGGAATCTAGTATGAGGATCAACACCCCCCACCTGGGGGAGTACTGAAACAGTTGTAGGTTGGTCATAACCTGAGTCTTTTTCACCATCAAACTCAGACAAAAAGGATGCAGTTTGACCTCTGATGCAGGCCTCCAACAGAAAAATTGTGGGTTTTTTTTTGGGCGGTTTATCATATGCGGGCACCCTTTTTAAACTGTTGGT